TCGGTCCGTGAGGATTCTCCGTAAAGAAAGCGAGATTTTTCTAATATGTTTTTGGCCGAGCGCAGGGAATCGCTTGGGTTTTGTTTGATGCTTAAGTTAAATCACCTAGTCCCGCTTTCCTTCGAAAAAAGGAAATTCCTTAATTATCCTCCCCAAAATCCACCCAGAGCTTCAACGCAGGTTACTCCTCGCTGACGCGAAATACGCAGCCCGTTCCTGGGAATACTAAAACGCCTTTTGTCCAAGCTGAAGTCGGCTCCAGGCAGCTGCGTTGTTTTGCAGGAGCAAGTCCCACCAGCCCGGGGTTTGGTTTTTCTTCCGGGGAGTATTTAATTATGCCTCCCAGGCCCGTGGCTTAATCGCTTAACGCTCCTGCGTCTTGTTTTATTTGCTCGCTCTCCTGTTTTGTACAACTCGGAGCCGGCGCTCGCGTCGCGGTGCAAACCGGAGTCGCCATGCGGGCTTCTTTCTTTCCAGCGCCCGTTATTCAGTCGCTTTAACAACGTTAAAGTGACTTGGGCATCATCGAGGTGAAATTGTGGGCTGATTTTCGGGAGGGCTGGCTCCGGAGTGCCGCCTCTGCGCCGGGACACGCACATCCAGCCCCTCAAAACGGCTCCGAGGGAAACTTCGTCGGGCAGAGCGAAGCCTGAGCAGGTTCATCCTGACACGTCACCGGCGGCCGATCACTTCCTTTCTCACTGGCCTATTTTAGGCTGTTTGCCCAGGGAGGAGCGAGGCAGCGATGTCACCAGATATGTCACATTTCCCTGGTTGGGAGCAAACTCGTCTGCGTGACGCAGTGACAGATGACCTTTGGTAGCTGCCGTAACAACAAACACCGCCCGGAACGCCCCGTGAGTTCTGTTCGTACCCGGAATCCTGGTGTCTCCCTGAGGCCGGGGCGTTTCCGTCTCGCTCCTGCACTGGGGTTTCGGGGCTGTGGGGTTCCGTTAGAGGAGCAGAAGGCAGGTGAGGTCTCTCGGTCTCCTCTCGAGGAGGCTCCCGGTGAATACGTGGGTGTTTGTCGCGCCTGCGCACGCTCCGATTTTCCTTTCTGGAAGATTTGGAGCTTGTTCTTCACTTAAGGCGAATCCTAGCAGCAGAACAACGGTCTGTGATGTATTAAAAAGACAACGGGTAGTGGCAGCGTGTGCTGTTTCAGAGGCAATGCTGGCGATCAGCTGAAGTTTTGGGGCCAACAGACGAGGTTTCACTTAGCAGGAGGCGCGACCAGCGACTCCCTGGGCATAAAGGCGCTCGGAAAGGGGCTTGGGGGCACACGACGAAGCGGTCTGCCAGCCCCGGGGTGAAGCTGCAGTCCCCTTTGGTCCCCTGTCCCCTATTATTTTATCCAAAATGAAAATCCATCAACTAAGGAACCTTTTTCTAAATATTAATGATTGTGGACGCAAACCGAAAAAAACCCTCATCTTAAGAAGGATTCTGAAACAAAGCTGTGGAAGAGGGAATGAATTTGTTATTAATAAAAGCATGATGGGAGCCTTCATCTCTGCCAGTACTGATGCTCAAAAAGTGTTTGGCTTATTTGCCACCGAGGGGAGAGCTCAGGCTCGCTGCAGTTCATCACCTTGCATGAGGTTTGCAAGTGCTGTGGCGAAGGGCTCGGTGTAAAACACGGGACTTTTATTGAGAGAAAAGTTAAACGGAGAGATCCCGCGGGAGCGGAAGAGCCAAGTCCTTCCCGGCTGTTTGTGGATGCTCCGCTCGGGAGAACTCGCCGTTCCTTTGCATGTCAGTTTAAGTGAGAAGCGTCTCCACTGGAATCAAACGTTTTTGGACTCTCTGCGATCGCTCGCGAGCGGGACGCTGGCCTTTGGGAGTGCCACCGGCAAGCGAACGAAAGGAGCCGGGCTAAGGTGAGTCTCGTTAAAGGACGGGAGGGCTGTGATGGCTTCCCGAGCAGCGGTGATCCATGGCGAAACGCTGCTGGCGAAGCGAAGAAGACCGCGGCGAGTATCTTCGACCGGTACGTCGGTGGCATCCCTTATTTTCCCTTCGGCACCAGGGTCTGGGGGAAGCCAACGGGGGCTTCCAGGTAGGCGTCCTTATCCAAACAGCCTGTGGATTTTCCACGTCTTTAAGTTTTCAGGCACGTAACAACATTTCTCCTGAATTAGAGTAAGTGGCCTCTCGAGCTTTTGAGGAGAGCCCAGGCAGGGAAGCGGCTCTTCCCTCCAAGCGTCAGCCCTGGTGTCATGGGCAATGTGGCCTCGTGTAGCCGTCCTGGCTATCGACGGAGAGAAAATGAGTAGTAGCTTGTGTTTTCTGCCCTTTCTTAGCTTTGTCGAAATGAGGAGCTTCAGGGGAACTTGTAAATGGACTTAACGCCCGCCTGGGTTTCAGCGTCACATTTGGCGTCTCGTTAGGAGGTGCAAACCCGTTGGTTGGACGCGGGGAATCTTTTCTTTACGCGTCGTCTTCCTGGCAGCTCGCCCTGGGTTTGCCAAGAGACGATGGGCTGAGCAGCGGAGACAGGCGTGAACGTCAGACGCCGTCGAGACTTCGGGGGCTCCCGGTTGCCATCTCGTGTGGCTGGCGTGTTCTCCGCTGGTTTGGGGCTCCCGGCACGGGGAGGCACGACCTCTTGGACACCGCACGGCCTTCAGAAAGCAGCGTGCTCTCCCTGAAGGTGGCACCGAGCACCCGAGCTGTCATGGAGCCGTCAGCGCTTCGCTTTACGTGCCGAGAATCGCAGATCCTCCTCTTGCTTTCTCTGCCCTGCTTGTGCGAGGAGTCTTTAAAAAGCTGCTTTAAAAAAAAAAAAGGGGCTCCAGGGCACCTGTGCTGTCTGAAAACCCGCCTTCCTTCCGATAGAGGCTCGGTTGCAGGTTTGTGTTGCGATGGAGCAACTTCCCTCCCCCTGCCCAGAGATCAGCCCTTCTGCCCTGAGCGTGCGGCGGGTCTCGGGTTGGTGCTTCCCCTTCTCCACCACGAGCTCAGACAGCGTTTGCTTTCGATGGCGTGTGCCGGCTTGCGTCATGGCACTAATACAGCTGCTTAATCCTAGTCCCAGTTCTAAAACTGAGCCTCTCTGCATCAAAATCCCATCTTACGGTTTTACTGGCCCTTTTATTGCCATTTATCTGGCCGTTTCTCCGTTGCGCCGCACCGTCTGCGTCCCTTCCGCCATTTTCGCCGACCCCAGGGTACCGAGCGGCTCTGAAAGCCCCTGAGTTTTGCAGCTTTTCTGGGGAGCGTTTACTACGGCCGCGTGTTAATCCTAAGCGCGGTGCACCTAGTCAGACGGGGGAGTTAATAACTTGTTCTTTCTTTTTCAGGTCAACACACAACGAGATGGAGAAGAACAGGTGAGTGGCGGAGGCTTGTTAGGAGCCAGGTTTGGGGGAATTTTCCAGGGGTTGGGAACCAGGGTCGGGAAACCGAGGCGGCGTTGAGATGGGAAACGGGAGAGAAGGGATGGGACGGCCGGATAAAGTGGCCGCCGAGGAGGTACCTGACGTCAGGCAGACTTGAGGCTTTCCCTGTCCTCGGCCGCCGGAGCAGCTGTGCAGTGAGGAGGTGGGAATGACATTTATCTCCTCGGCCAGCCCCCGCTTCGCTGGTGAAACCCCGAGCAGCCCCTCATCCCACCTCTCAGCTTGCCGGGGGGAAGGGTTTCCAGCCCTCTCCCATTTCCCGGGGGCAACCCGGTGCCGGTGCGACGGCCACCGTCCTCTGCTCGCCCGCAGCCGGGGTGCAGGTTCGCGGCCGGAGCTGTGCGCACAAGTGACTGTGATTGTTTGCGACAGACGGGTGCAGTCTTCGTGGTCCAGCTGAAAGATGGCTTTGTGTCCTTGCTAGGCTGCTCTTTTTTTCCTCGGCACGGCTTGGACGCAGCTCAAGTCTTGCCGGGTCGTGCTGCCAGCGCAGGGCTGGCGTGAACTCCGTCGGTTTGTATCTTAAGGGGCAGAACCTCCTGTGTCCCAAGCGACATGGGTTAGAAAAGGCCAGGGACATTTATTCCTCACTTGAAAAGACCGAAAAAATTAGAATTTGATTACTTCAGGTTCATCTTGCATCCCTCTCGCCTCGTTTAGAGCAGAGCCGTGTCGAAATCCCCTTGGTAACATTGCACAAGCGAGTGCAGTAAACGCTCCGTCCTTTCCGCCCCTTCGACCAGGGCAGCTGGAGAAACGAGCCTCTGCGCAGGCATTACGCGCCTCTTCTTCCTTTGCTCCTCTTTAGAGACGCCGTAAGGCCGTCGAGCTGGTGAATCTTGGCCTCGACCAAAGCTTCCCGCCCGGCACGAGGAGCGGCTTGGCTTGATACGGGGAGGGAGAGCGACGGGGAGATGGGTATCCCACAGGGACAAGCACAGTGAAATGGGACGACGGGCTTGGAAAGTCCTTTCCCCGCGAAACGAATCCTTTCAGGGTTTTTTTTTCTTTTATTATTACAAGCCACTGGGATTTCTGGGGGGTTTTAAGCGTGGCAGCAGTTTCAGCTGGGTGAAATGTGGCAGAAATGTGCTTTTCTAGGCGCTGCCCGTCTAACCTCGAAGCGGAAACCCCAGGTTTGACTCCGGCGTTGGCGTTGTGTAATCCAGAAACTTGCTCGGCGCTGGCCGGGGCGGGTTGCTGCTGTGCTCCCCCCGCGTAACTTCTGCCAGGCAGGGCGGGCTGGTTTTTTCCATTCGTTGTTTTTCTGGTGTGAACAGCCGGAGTGACAAGGCTTTTTTTTTTTAGTAGAGGTAGCCAAGGGTTTCGATTTTGCTGCCGCAGCCCTCGCAGAGCGCGGCTGGGCTGGCTCCTTATCCATAGATCTTGCAGGTAAATCACTCGTAAGCCGGCACGGCACGGTCGGACAGGTCTGCACCGCTCCGGGCAGCTCTTCCTCCCACTGCTCAAGAAAATAATCTTTGCAGAGGCTCATCTTTGAGCCTGTCGGTGTTTGGGATTTACCCCAACAGCAAAGACCACGTGCTTGCTTTGCATGGTAACTCAGAAGGTACTTTGTGTAGGCAAATGCCTGTTTACTCCTAGCGTGCCCGAAACAAGATGGGCAGGTACTTGCAAAATCCCAATTTGCAGCTGCCTGTGTCGATCGGGTAATTCAAAGACGGGTGTTGCAACCGATGCCCGAGAAGGTGACCTAAATCTTGGGGTTGGAGCGCGGAACACGAGGGAAACCGGCCCGTGCTGGGAGCATCTCGGTTATCCGCAGATAAAGAGACTTCCTCGAGGAGCCAGGCTTTCCCTCGGCCGCGGTATGCAGGCGGTAAAGCATTAGCCTACGTACTAATGCAGACAAAATCTGGGTGTTATTCAGGGAGGGAGGGATTCCCGGCGGGCTGCTGTGCCGGCGCGGCCACGGAGCGTGGTGTTGCCCGGGGCCGGCATTCCGTCAGGGAGCTGGGTTTGTTTTGACCGGAGCCACATGTGCCAAGGTGATGGATCCGAAACCAGCCCGTTCCTACTAAAACTAGGGAAAGGAAGTGCTCCCAAGGGACGCGCTGGGTTTACAGCTGCGTGGCATCTGCCCCGAGTGCTTCAGGTGTCAGCGGAGCAACGCGGTTGACCGAACGGCATCCCTGCAGTGGAGCTTTTTGGGAGGAGAAAGACCAAAAGCGGATGCCCTCACCCAAAAGTTGAGGTCTTTGGTGGCTCCTCACCAGCAAGCGTCCCGACAGCCCGAAAGGTGCCAGCAGGGTTCTGTTGGCGGGATTGGCCGAAGCTGGAGTTGGGTTTTTTGGAGAGGTCCTTCTGTCGGGCTGCAGATTTCACTCGGCGTGTGGAAGCCGCCGGAGGGTGGGAAGGCGTCTGGGTTGGCTTAGCTTCCAACCACCTGGTGATCCGCGCTGGCAGGGGGGAAATGCCGTCCGGGAAGTGGGTGCCTGACTGCTCAGCGTCTTGTGTGATCTTCTTACAGGCGTGCCCACCTGCGGTTGTGTTTGGAGAAGCTGAAGGGACTGGTACCGCTGGGACCCGAAGCCAGCAGGCACACCACCCTGAGTTTACTCACGAAAGCTAAATTGCACATCAAGGTGAGCGTGAGCTCCTTCGGTGCCACTGAACCCACCCGCTGTGGGAGACCCTGCGCCGCCACGCGGGGCGCAGGGCTTCCGGGGCGGCTGGGTCCTTGAGCAGGATGAAGGTAACGGCCGGCTCGGGAGGTCGGTTTGGAAAAACTGACGGAGGTTGATGCTGTCGCGGTTTTGCCGTCTCGCAGCTGGCACGGCGAGTCCGTGCGATTCTCCTTATCGACGGGGTCGCCGCCTTATCGACGGGCTCGCGGAGGGCGGCCACGCCACATTTCTGCGTCGTACCCTACGCCGCAGCGATGCCCAGAGGCCTTAGAGACGAGACTGGCTGCGGGACTGGAGGACAGCTGCTTTTTTCCTTTCTTTTCTAGAGTGTTTCTCACTTCGCTCTCTGTCCTTTAGACTTTGACTGGACAGGGATCTCCTCGCCGGGTGTATTTAGAGCTTGGTGAACTGAGAGATAACCAGGGGAGCGCTGGCGTCGGGCTGCGTTCGACTCCCTCGTTATCAAAGACTCTGACAATATATAAATAGGAGGCTCCGGCGCAGCCGGGCGTGTAAATTGTTTGGAGGGGGAAGCGTCCTTGACGTGCCTTCTCCAGCGGCTGCGAGGCAGCCCCAGACCTCTCCATCCCCGGGCCAGAGGCCGCACCCTGCCTCGCCGTCCGTCGGCTTGCAGGAGGACGGAAGTTGCATCCATAGGACTCGTGCGCTCGGCGTCCTGAGCTGACGTGTTGAAGCCGGGGAGCCCCTCGGTAGTTGGCGGCGGTCGCGTTTAGACGGCTCGGGTAGCGAAAGCGATGTGGAGCGGTGGCGGGCGCGTGTGGACGGAGGCTGGGGAGCTCAGGCTGCCTTTTCTCTCGTCCTCTTGCAGAAGCTCGAAGACTACGACAGGAAAGCCGTACACCAAATAGACCAGCTGCAGCGGGAGCAGCGGCACCCGAAGAGGGAGGTCGGGAGCAGCGGCACCTGAAGAGGCAGCTGGAGAAGCTGGGGATAGAGAGGATAAGGATGGACAGTATCGGATCCACTGTTTCTTCGGAGCGCTCGGACTCGGACAGAGGTGAGACCCTGCGTTGGGGTTGGAGCGGGGCCGCTGGCGCGAGGCCCGGCTGGCCGCGTTGCGACGCTAACCGTTCCTCTTGCAGAAGAGATAGACGTGGACGTGGAGAGCACGGACGACCTTCCCGCGGACCTCGACTGGAGCAGCAGCAGCCCGAGCGACTCG